CAACTAAACCTAACCTAAACAAATCCTGAACCTAAACAAACAAAAACAAAAAGAAACTAAGTAAACAACTAGAATAGGAACAGAATCACAGAAATGGAGATCACATGGAAGGTTATCAGTGGGGAGGTGGAGGGGGGAGAATGGGGGAAAAGGTACAGGGAGTAAGAAGCATAAATAGGTACAAAATAGACAGGTGGGTTTAAGAATAGTACAGGAAATGTAGAAGCCAAAGATCTTATATGTACTACCCATGGACATGAACTAAGGGGGCAGTGCATGTGGGAGGTGGGTACAGGGCCAAGGGGAATAAAGGGGGGGGGAATGAAACAGCTATAATAGCATAATCAATAAAATATATTAAAAAAATAAGAAAACCTCAGAGTATTGCTTGCCAATTCCAAAGAAATAACCCAGAGGGACTGGCTGTGAAAGACATGGGTTTATCAGACTTACGCACCCACTGGCGGTGACTGGCTGGGAAAGTTTTCTGCAACCTGGGCTTTTCCAGCACCAGGTTATGCAGAGCACAGAAAACAAAGCACACAGGGTATGTGGGGAGGGGGGAGTTCACTGTTGCACACAAGCTGTGTGGGATCAAAATGTTAGCTGTTTCTCTGAAGTTGTTTACAGTGTGGGCTCACCTAGAAGCAGTTTTTCTTTGGCTTTTCTCTTTTTTAAAGATTTTTATTTGTTTTTAGAGAGAGGGGAAGGAAGAGAGAGAGAGTGTGAGAGAAACATCAATGTGTGGTTGCCTCTCACGCACCCCCCACTGGGTACCTGGCCTGCAACCCAGGCATGTGTCCTGAGTGGGAATCAAACTGGTGACCCTTTGGTTCACAGGCTGGCACTCAGTCCACTGAGCTACACCAGCCAGGGCTCTGGCTTTTCTTGACCCAGGAGCTGGCTAGGCTCCCAAGGTTGGTCCCACAGGCTGCTTATGGTTGGCCTTCATCACATTCCCACACAGTGAAAAGGGACCCATATTCTCATCACACGCTTGCTCACCAGGAAAAAAAAAAACAAAGCAAAACAAAATCACTTCCTCTCTTTGTACTGACTCACTTTAAGAATACAACTAACAATTCTATATAACATTTATTGCATGCTTACTATTTGCTAGAGATAGTGCTAAATCCCTTTCATGGATTAGTTTCCTTTATAGCATTTCTAGTAGGTTGGTAATATTTTTAGGCTCAATTTTACAGGATTGGAAATGGAGTGATTAAGGCACTTAGCTAGAATCAAAGCTGGGACCATCTGAATCTAAGACTGAAACCTCAGTTTATCTTTTAGTGGGTGGGTGTGTAACTGAACAACAGGTCTGTCTGCTCGCCGCCGCAAAAGCCAATGCTTAAGAAGCAGGTGCTGATGTAAAGGAAAAGTGGGTTATTTGCAGATTCTGGTCATCTGGAAGATGGGGGACTCATGTCTCAAAGCCCATCTCCTGGAAGATGGAGGACTCATGTCACAAAGAGTGTCTCCACCTCTTAATGGAGACAGGCTTTTTTATAAGGAGGGAGAAGGGAACAGAACAAACAGACCAAGGGAGGGGGTTGAAAAGTTCTCTATGTGCAGACCAGCAGTCCATTTCGATAAGGCAAGTGATGGTCTGATGTGGGTCATCCTGGCTTCACGTCATGGTTCCATAGTTAAAGCTCAGCAAATCTCCCAGAGCTGGGATGCCTGAGGGTTGAGGTCTGTATTTTTTGAAGTTACTTCCTAGGATTCTTTTTTTTTTTAATTTTTTTATTGATTATGCTGTTACAGTTGTTCTATTCCCCCCCTTCATTCCCCTCCACCCTACCCCCCATCCCCATCATTAATCCCCCCCTTTAGTTTATGAACATGTGTCTCAAGTCCTTTAGATTCTATATTTCCCATGCTATTCTTACCCCCCCATCTATTTTCTATCTACTGTCTATGCTACTTATTTTCTGTACCTTCTGCCCCCTTCTCCTCCTCCCACTCCCCTGTTGCTAACCCTCCTTGAGATCTTCATTTCTATGTTTCCACTCCTGATCTAGCTGTCGTTTTAGTTTGCTTTTGTTTTAGGTGTGGTTGTTAATTACTGTGAGTTTGTTGTCCTTTCACTGTTCATGTTTCTTTAACTTCTTTTTCTTAGATAAGTCCCTTTAACATTTCATATAATAGGGGCTCCTTGAATTTGATCTTATCTGAGAAGCACCTTATCTGTCCTTCCATTCTAAATGAAAGTTTTGCTGGATAGAGCAGTCTTGGTTGTAGGTCTTTGGATTTCATGACTTGGAATACCTCTTTCCAGCCCCTTCTTGCCTGTAAGGTCTCTTTTGAGAAATCTGCTGACAGTCTGATGGGGACTCCTTTGTAGGTGACTGTCCCCTTAGCTCTTGCTGCTTCTAGGATTCTCTCCTTCATTTTAATCTTGGCTAATGTAATTATGATGTGCCTTGGTGTGTTCCTTCTTGGGTCCAACTTCTTTGGGACTCTCTGAGCTTCCTGGATTTCCTGGAAGTCTATTTCCTTTGCCAGCTTGGGGAAATTCTCCTTTATTATTTGTTCAAATAAGTTTTCCACTGGTGGCTGTGCCTTACCGGTCAGGCTGAAGAATTTGTTGTTAACAGACTTCTTAAAAGTTCAATTTTCTGTGTTCTGGCTGTGTTTTCTGTTGCTAATATTTAGTTGTCTCTAAACTTGGTTGTGTGAGAAGGCACGGTATATCCACCTATGCCTCCATCTTGGCAGAAGTCCTCAGTTCCTAGTATTCTTATGCAAACATGTGGTTCATCTTAAAAACCACATATTGGAGTCAGCACTTACAGCAACAATATCAGAAGAATGGTTGGGTGGGTTAAAATTTCCCACCATTACAATTTTCTACTGTCACAAATTTCCCACTCAATTATTCTCCCATTTCTATGGAATTTAGAAGGGTTAGCCAAAACATTGAAGATAGTTAAAAAATTCAGGATTCATTATTGTTTATAGGTGAAAAATAAAATTTTACAGATAATTCAGTGAATTACAGTCTAATGTCTATAATGATATATTACAGATTTTATTAAAGTCTATTTTTTTCTCCTAAAATTACCCTCATTTTATCAAAGAGCCAAATTAAAACCAATTCATTTACTGTATTAAGTCCATTTCAATTCAGCCTGATTATTTGCATGAACACAACAAGAATAGCAATTGATCGTATAGTCTTTCTTAAACCTACTTTGCTGGAATGTTAGAAGGAATTTTCAGAATGAACTTCAGCCCCTCAAGGTGGAAAAGCCAAGCCACACAGTTGGCATCAGGCTTTGCTTGCAGTACCTCCATGTCTTGGTAAACTCAAGTACTTTAGGTACCTAAAATGTCTCCAGGTTCTTCCTTGCCATCTCCTAGGAAAGCAACCTTCGCTCCTTACCTGGCGAGACTGCCAGGAACCGTGTGAATAAGCAAGTTATCAGGCCATTTCTCCAAGAGGCTTTTCTTGGCTCAAGGTCAATCTTATTCCTTAAAGCTTTTGCTGACACCCAGAGGCTAGGCATGTCTCTCCCAGACATGACATTCCAGTCAAAGTCTTAGTTAATAAACCCACAATTGGAAGCTGGAAGAAAATCAGATTACTACTGAATTCATGTGAACAAATATGTTGCCATGAAAATAGTAATACTAAGAGTTTCCAAATTCTGGAGGGATCAAGTAGAGAGAAAAACATAAATGCTTCAATATTGCTATAATTTATCAAATTGCTTTATTAAAACAAACTAGTTTTTTTAAGTCAGTAGTATTTTGAACAAAGTCACAAGAGTATTTTCAGTTCCTTTAGTCTCATAATCAATTCCTGTTTATCCCTATTATTTGCCTTTATCTCTACAAACCCAGTCATTCTCCAGACCCTTACAAATCCCCATTTATTTCAAAGGTATGATCTGAAAATTTGTTTTGAGAAACTTGTATTTTAGAATAAGTCAAAATCCTTTCCATTAATTACTTGTTTTGACTTTGGTCACAACTCGTACTACCTGTGGAGCCCTTAAGCTGAAACTCTTGGGTTCATGGTGTCCTCTTTCTTTCACAGAAAGAAAAAAATCCTTGGGAACAATTTATTTTAAATTCTGTCCTAAAGTATTTCCAAGTTCTAAGGAATAGTATCTCAAGGGAAAGAGAAGCAGCCCGGGCAAGAGTCAACCAAAACAACAGACCGCAAAATCAAACCTGCAAAAGCTGCAGATATTGTTAATTTTGAGGTAAAAAAAAAACAACCAAACCCTAGAGATTTAAAATAAGTAGCTAAAAGTGGGAGAAATGAGAGTCTATCCAAATTGATAGACGATAATAAAATTATATAGGAGTACAAATTTAAAACGTAACCATTAAAATTTATAACTCAATGGATGGGTTAGATAGGTTACACGTAGCTGAAGTGAAGCTGGGAAATCTGAAGGAGTTACACACAGTGCAGGACATCAAACAGATGGAATGAAAGAGCTCAGCGGCTGCATTTTAGGATAATAGGCAACTTGCACTTAACTGGAATCCCAGAAGGGACAGTATGGATGGTAGCCACTATGTGAAGAGAAGCTCTGAATGCTTACTGTGTTGGCGTGTGCACTACAGTTTAGTAACACTGTAATGGTAAATCAAAGTACACCAGGTCAGCTCCATGGTCACATCTAAAGGGGAGGGTGGGCTCACAGATGTTCGTTTAAGTCTCTAAATCGTACACAATTGCCTACATATGCTCTTGGGACATCTACTAAGTCACTTAAAAGTCCGGGCCAATGTCTGAGAGCTGACGGGAACACGGTAAATGTCACAGGCGCTGGCGGTCGGACAGTGACTCTAACTGCCTGACCGGAAGCGCTCTCCCCTGCTACCCGGAGCTTCCCGTCCAGAGGCCCGCTCCCTCCTACTGAACTGCCCCTGCGACCCCTAGCGGTGCGGCGCCAGAGGGCTGCGGCGGGAGCGACCTGCAACATTCCCACTCCCTGGAGGGCGGGACTTCCTAGAGGCGGGACTTCCTGCCGCTGAGTGAAGGGCGCAGCATCAGCACCAGCAGCGGCGGCGGTGACTGAGCTCTGAGGCTTTTGCGCTAGCCGCTGCGACCCAGGCGACTGGCCGCGGCCTGCGGATTCAGGGCAGTCGGGGCGGGAGAGCAGGCTCTCCAGCAGACAGCAGGCCGCGCTGGCGGCAGCGGTGGCCGCGATGATGGAGATCCAGATGGACGAAGGCGGCGGCGTGGTGGTGTACCAGGATGACTACTGCTCCGGCTCCGTGATGTCAGAGCGGGTGTCGGGCCTGGCAGGCTCCATCTACCGCGAATTCGAGCGCCTCATCCACTGCTACGATGAGGAGGTGGTCAAGGAGCTCATGCCGCTCGTGGTTAACGTGCTGGAGAATCTGGACTCGGTGCTCAGCGAGAACCAGGAGCATGAGGTGGAACTGGAGCTGCTGCGCGAGGACAACGAGCAGCTGCTTACCCAGTACGAGCGCGAGAAGGCGCTGCGCAAGCAGGCCGAGGAGGTGCGTGGGCCGGCCGCGCCGGGGACCCGCCCGTGGACCACTTACTCCCCGCCCCGCCCGGGGACCCTGTCCCGCCAGCCCATCCCAACACTGCTCTCAAATTACTGGGGCCCCTAGCCCGGCCCAGGGAGTGAGCCCTGGCCACCCCCCTGTCCTCCGACCCCTCTCGCCTGCTCCTCCAGCCTAGAGGCCAGAGCCCGTAACCACTGGGTTTCACCGGTGGAGCTTGCAGCCTAAACAGCCCCTAGTCTCGGGCCAAGCCTCGGTTTCCCCTCAGTACCCACCTCTGGTTCCAGACTTTCAGTTCTGTTTGTTTTTCGCAAACTACATCCCAGTTGCTACCTCTTGTTGCTACAATTCTAAACCCTCCCAGAGAAGGGATATTTGAGATTCTTAAGGTTCTGCAGAAGAGGTATGCTGTCAGACCTCTTCCTTGTCCCTAATCTAATGTTTTGAAGGTCTGTGACATGGATCAATTTGATAATTGATGTAAACACATGACTAAAGTTACAGTTAGGCTGCTTCTTTGGTACCAGGTGAAGGACTCCAGGTCTCCGAGGTGATTTCTTTGCCCCGAAGTTCCCTCGGTTGGGAAGATTGTTAACTTAGGTGGAAAAAGGCTGAGAAATTTCAATCTGGCTTCTAAGGAGCTAAAAGTAGAGTTTAGAAATACTTATGTTCTAGGATACTTCCATGACCTGGAAATCAGTTACTTGTGAACCAGCTAGGAGAACCATGCATTGTAGGGAATGCCACTTAACTTCATTCATTCACCATCAAATATTTAGCAGGATGTGGTAGACCCCAGCAGATGTGGGATGTATGCTCCGGTTTCACTTTGCCTTTGTGACCTTGTGCATGCTGTCTGCCCCATCTGCATTTTGATTTTCCATCAGTCAAATGAGTCTTTTGCCCTAGATAATCTCTAAGGCCTAACATTCTGTTAGTTTAGCCATTAGTTAATGCTGTTTGATGATTAGGCGGTTTCTTATTAAATGAGTTAAACTTTCCAATTAATTTGGCTGAACATAGTCTCGACTTTACCATTGAAATAGAAGATTATTTCAGTATTTTACCTTTTATTTGAACCAAAGTGGTTTATACTCTAGTTTGGTTTAAAGCATGTTTATAAAAATTAACACTGCCTTGTATTAGTCCTACTTTGATTCATTTTGCTTTCATGCGTCTGTCAAGAAACTGTTGTCTATTGATTGGGCTGCCAAGCTCCACCAAAACTGATTTAAAACTCAAGGGGATGCAAAAGTTCATAGGATTTTAGAGTTCAGAGCAGCCCTAGGCATTTACAGGGGAAAGAACTGAGGCTGTGAAGTAAGCAGACTGTACCAGCCCTGGCCGGTGTGGCTCAGTGGATTGAGCACTGGTTTGCGAACCGAAGGGACTGTACCAAGGTCACATGCCCTGGAAGAGCCAGGCCAGGACCCAGTCTCTTGACTCCTGGTTTAGGTTCTCTTCTTGTCATGCTGCCATGGAAAATCAGAAAGCTGCACCCCTTGATGGCTGGAGCACTGGGGCTCCCCTTACCCACCCATGAGGCTATGGCTACCTCTCTTGTGTGGGGAGTTCCTCCCACTTCTCTGACCACTCTTGGTGGCCATTGGATGCCTAACTGAGGTTGCAAGTTTGTATTCTTTCGTCAGTACCTATGTGGCCAACATGGTGGATGAGAAGGAACTAAAAGAAGAAAACCAAGATGGACAACCATAAGACTGAGAATCATAACCTCTAGTTTAAGATTAGTTCTACATAGATTAGAACTAATCTATGAGAGAACTCTGCTCTGCTCTTTGCAGTTCAAGTGCAACCACAAGCAAGTATGCTTCTGACCTCTCACCTCCACTCCCCTGGACTAAGAGCTGGGGGCAGTGTGCTTGTGGTTTGGAGGAAAATGCCTTCAAGGCTAAATCCCACCATTGCCCCAGCTATTAGGAGAAACTGCACAGAGCTTCCTGAGCAGAGAGCCATGAAGCAAATGCCTGGCTAGCCAGCAACACAGCTTAGATTAAATGTGATTAGATGTCCACCCTTAGAAAGACTGCAAAGTGATGTTACAACTGAAAACAAAAATCTTGTAACCATTTTGGCTTTCTAGCTCATTTATGAAACCTAGCAGGCATTCACTCTCAGTTTTGTGGAAAGGACCACTGCTGTGTGGATTGGCCTCCTTTTCTAGGCAGATATTAGGATCACAGATGTGTGTCTGATAGCACAAGAGCTGGCACGTCATAGGCTGCAGACATGTTCATGTTACAGAGTATCTCCGGCACGCGGACCACTCTGCTCCAGAAGGCTTAGTCAGAGCTGGGTAACCTGAGCTGCCTGCAGCCTTCTGAGCAGACAGAATCTTCACCGTTTTTTTTTTCTTCAAAGTCTTGAGCACAGCAAATAACCCTGTCCTCTGCTTCTTGCCGGTAATAACAGCAGTGAGAAATTGCAAGTATGTTCTGGTCCTAGCATGGCTCCTTGGTCCCAGGACTGCTCACTCAATGGGAGTGATGGTAACTAGAGATAGTGGAGTCCAGGGAGAGGGCCTTGGGGTCTGCAGATGAGCTTAAGTGCCCGAGCTGCCCTTGGGAGCCGCCTGCGCGGTGACCAGTCTTCCCTACTCTGGCTGCAGTGGCTACCTCTGTAAAGCGAGTGAATTGTCAGACGTGGCAAATCACTTTCATCTTAAGTGCCAAGTCCCATCACTGGCTCTTGTTTTTCTGCAGAATTGCTGCGAGGCAGATGTAGCGGAGTCAGGGAGGAGCACCCTGATGGATGTTCAGGGCAGCTTTGGTTGGTAAGCACTGGGCACCTTAGTCTGTCCTTGTGCAGGCTTTACCCTTGTAATTGAGACCAGAGAACCTCACTCAAGCTTGCAGAGCTGATTGGACCTATGGCTGGCTTCTGCAATTTCTACAGAGGCCTAAAGATCTTGAAAATTTAAAAAAAATCCAAGCTCTTTCCCATTAGAAAAGAAGGTTGAAAGTGGGCAGTTGACTGGGACAGCTGGAGAGCATGTAGATGCCCCTCAGTAGTAACCCAAGGGACAACGAGGGGGGGGCTCCATGCGCTCTTTCCCTGGGCAGCAAAGAGCCCCCTTCCTTGCTGTGGTCAAGGACTTAGCTGATGAGAGGAAAAATCAGCTAAGCTGAGAGACGGGTGTGAGTTTAGCAGCCATCATTTGCCTTAAAATCTTCTTTGCCCTGAGGAAACTACTACTTATCACAAGCAACCCAAGTGGATGCTGTTGAAGAGATACTGTGTGGCCATTTGCTGATACTGCAGCATTTGGAACTGTGTAAGAAAAGCATCCGACTGGAGGGGAGTTTGACCCCAAACTGTCTTCTAGTTATATAAAAGTAACCCATTTCATGGAGGAGCACTCAGGTGGGATTAGGATGGAGGTGGGGGGAAACTGTAATCCTGCTCCACAGAGATTATCATTTTGCCTTTTTTCATAAGTGAATTGATACATTGAATCAGAAGGTTTTCTTCTTGTTGCCCAATTAGACATAGTAAATTCATCACTGCTTGGACAAGGTATGTGATTTCTCTTTCTGCCATGTTGTAGTGTTAAGAGCAGTTTCTAAAAAATTGTGTGTTTGTTTTAGATGAAGCCATTACGATTGGGTGGCCTGAGCTGCCTTTCCTAGTTGCCTCCAAATGTTTGCCCAGTGTGGCTGTGCCAGAGTGACCAGAAGTACACCAAAATCTCCCCTCAAAATGGAAAAAAAAATAGGTGTAGAGCAGCAAAGAGAGGCACTCTTCGGCTGGGGCGAGCACGTAGACAAGATGCCCACTTCGGTGTGGGGGCCTCTCCCCACTGCTGCGCCCCGTCTGCCGTGGCAGGAACCCTCTGGCGGCAGTTAGACAGTGGGGTCGAGGACTGGTAAAAGTTAGCGCTTCCAAACTGGGATTTCTAAATTAAATTTAATATCTGGTTCTTTATTTGGAACGATTTAAAGCAAAGTTGCAAAAATCATACCTTTCACCCAGATTCCCAGATGTGAACTTTTTCCCACATTATTCTCTGTCTGTCCCTCCCTCTCACTCTGCTAAGACCTTCAGGAACTCGTATGTTCCCGTGGTCCCCCCTGTTCTGGGTCGAATCCTCACTTTCTACTTTTCATGAACTTGATGATTGTGACATCACAGGCCAGTTATTCTGTAGGATGTCGTTCAGTGTGGCTTTCACGTGACCTCAAATGAGATTAAGGGCACCCCCAGAGGTGATGTTGAGCTTGTCTAAGAATCTCTTAAATCTTTACTTGTACACGGCAGGGTGTTGGGGAGATACACAGGTGTGAGACGGGGTTCCTTTTCTCAAGCTCCATTCATTGCTGAGGCTGGGAGGATGATGAGGGTGAGAGGATGGCCGTGAATGCGTGAAAAGATAACTGCCAGAGGCCAAGCCAGGAGCACTGTCAGTGACAACGCGGACTTCCCAGGCATTCGTTTCCCGAGCTCCCTTAAAAGTCAGGGTCCTGGGGCCATCCTTATCACCTCTCATATCTAGTTGCTCACTAAGTTCCAGCATTCTTTTGGTCCAATTTTTTGTTTTTATATGCCTTGTTTTTAAAAAAACTTGTTTTTAATCCTCACCTGAGGACATTTTTTTCATTGCTTTTAGAGAGAGAGGAAAGAACGGAGAGAGGAAAACATCAGTGTGAGAAAGAAGCATCATTTATTTGCCTTCCATACACTTCCAGGCTGGGGATTGGCGCCTGGACCGGGGATCCTTTCCGGTTACAGGACGATGCTCTAACCAACTGAGCCACACCAGCCAGGGCAGTATGCTTTCTTTTTTAAATCTTCCTTGTACCATCCTGGTTCCAGTTGCCACTATCACATTGGTCTCCCCAACCACTCTCTCCTCTCCCAAACCTTTTCCAGCCAGAGTGAGCTTCTATGGAAGCAGATCACACCTCCCTCTCTCGCTCATCCATTTACTCAATGAAATACCCTGAGTGCCAGGCTTGGCTGCAGCCTCTCAGGAT